CCCATTACGCGTGATAAGTTAGGTATATTAGAGAAGGAAAATAAAGTGTCATTATATGTTTATCAATTAAGAAAGGATCAAGATAGGACATTTATGGCTATGTGTCGTAAGGGGAATAAGAAATATAAGGACATTATGTGCGCGTTATTGTTGAATGAAAGTCATTTGGTTTTAATTAAAGATTTTGACGGGTATGTTAGAACGATAATGTCAGAAAAAGGTGAAAAGAAGCACTGTCATAGTTGTTTGATGAAGTTGAATACACAGGAAGAGTTAGATATCCACGAAGATGGATGTAAAATCAATCAGGTTCTCGTATTCCCCCCGGAAGGAACAACAGTACACTTTGAAAATTTTAGTCATACACATTCCAGCGAATATATCGGTGTATTTGATTTCGAATGTGCATTAGACACAACTCTCCCAGCAGGTAAAATTGAGTCTCGTCATAAAGCCATTGCCTATTGTTATATTATATTTGATCGCAAAGGAGAAATAGTGTGTATAAAGAGTTATAAGGGGGAGGATGCTGTTAATCATTTCATTTTAAATGTTAGTGGTGAATGGAATAAAATAAAGTATAGAAGACAGTATCATGAAATCCATATGACGGAGGAGGATAAGATGAGACATGATTCTCAGATCACTTGTAAATTATGTGGTAACACCTTCAAAAAACCCAAGGACAGACATAAACACCATGACCATACTTTAAATTTCAATAATTATATTGGAGCCTATTGTGCACGTTGTAATATGCAGTGTAAAGACAAGAGAGAGAAATTATTGCTTTTTTGTCATAACATGGCGTATGATTTAGGAATAATTTTAAAGGAATTGAATGTTGATAAATATAACGTTGAAATTCATTCGAAACAAGGTTTCAAATTCTTGAAAGTAGAGATAGGTAAGGTTAGGTTTCAAGATTCACTGTCTTTATTGAATGGATCTCTTTCCACGTTAGCAGAACAACATATCAAGGCAGGTAAATCCCTGAAATATACAGAGACTATTCTGAAAGATGTGCCTCGAGATGTCTTACCTTTATTATGTAAAGGAAAACAAATTTTGTGTTATGATTATATTGATAGTTTAAAGAAGCTCGATGAAACAAAATTACCGAGTAAAGATCATTTTTTTAATTCTTTGAGAAATAGCGCTATCAGCCAAGAAGATTATGAACATGCATAGAAAGTGTTTGAGCTGGGTAAATGTAAGACTTTAGGAGATTACTTGATGTTATATCTCAAGACAGATGTTGGTTTGTTAGCCGATGTCTTCATGGAGTGGCGTAAAACACTCAAAGATATTTATAAGCTAGACGTTAGTAATTATATAAGTTTACCATCATTCAGTTGGGATGCATTCCTATTGAAAACTAATGTAAGATTAGATATGTTATATTCCCATGAATTATATGACTTGATTAAAAGGAATCTCAGAGGAGGGTTTACGTGCTCAATTAATCAGTATTCTAAAGCAGATAATCCCCTAATTAACCCTAATTTTGATGTTGAGAGTGGAATGGGCACTCATATTTTATATCTAGATTTTAATTCTTTGTATGCTAGTGCGATGGTTGAAGCTCTTCCACAGAATGGTATCAGAAAATTATCGAATGACGAGAAGAATGCTTTCCTCGATGTGGGATTAAGTAATGTTTCCTGTGAAGGTTAAAAGGGATATTGGATAGAATGTGATACCAAGCACATATCCCCCGAGGTAGCTAGGCGCACTGATGAACTTCCTTTAATATTATCACACATGAATATATCAACAGAGATGTTATCTCCTTATTGTTAATCTATATTGAAAAATGAAGGTAGAAAGATCCCCAAATCTAATGGGAAATTAGTGGGCAGTCATTTATCTCAGAAAAATTATTTGATCAGTCTAGAATTGTTACAGTTATTACTGGAACTTGGGTTAGAGGTGGAAAAGGTTCATACCATATATGAATATACACAGACAAAATTTTTAGAACCTTTCATATCAACTAATATTGCACAGAGAACAGCTACAAGATGTCCTATCAAGTCAAAAGCCTTCAAATTAACTAATAACGCCATATATGGGAAATCATTGTTGAATATTACAAAGTATGCTGAGAAATATAGATATATCAATAATGAGAAAGCATTTATTAGAGCGAGTAAAGATCCTTTGTTAAAAAATATCACACATTTAAATCAAGATAGAGTGATTTGCACATTCAATAAAGATATATTAGAAGTTAAGCAACCACTTTATCTCGGTTTTCAAATTCTTGAGATAGCTAAAAAGAAATTGTATCATTTTTGGTATAAAGTTTTAAAACAGCATTATGGTGGTGATGTAAGACTTCTTTATACCGATACTGACTCGTATATTTTTAGCTTGAAATGTAAAGATTTGTATACCGAGTTAAAAAGTGAACCATTGTTAGGTTATATGGATTTTTCAAATTTCAGTCCTGAGCATCCCTTATATGATGATAGAAGAAAAGGGGAGCTGGGGTTATTGAAATCTGAAATGTGTGATAACCATATTAGCGAGTTGATAGCCCTGAAAGCTAAAATGTATTCTGTCAAGATTGCTGGAAGATCAACTACTGTCAGCAGAGCCAAGGGTATTCCTTCGCAATTTATGCCATTATTAACACATACAAGATATAAGAATGTTTTATCAAATGTAGATAGAGAATGATTCGCGTGTAAGTCTATAAGTAATGTAAAAGGTGAAATATGTACGGTAAGAATTAATAAGAGAGGTTTGTCAGCCTTTGATGATAAAAGATATCATTTGAATACTAATGAATCCTTGGCTTATGGACACCCTGATATTCCACCATCTAAACGTAGGAGAATAGAGTGATGTATTACCAGAAATGGCTGTATAATAAATAATGAAAAAAAAAATATTGTGTATTAGTGTTATCCTGAAATGTGTCTTTCTGATGATGAAAATGTTTTCCCTATGATGTAGGTACTATATCCCCTTATTAACTTTAATGAACTAAAAGGGTCGACAAGTTTCAGCTTGTGCGTGCGGTCATCACGTGACGTCACTGACAGAAGGTAAGTGTCCCCTTATTAACTTTAATGAACTGAAAGGGTCGACAAGATTCAGCTTGTATGTGTGACGTCACTGACCGCCGAGTAAACACCCTTCTTAGTTCATTTGACTTGTTTAGACCTGTAGTAAGCATGCCCCCATAGGAGGAGTCTATTTTGAATGCTTACCCTCAGAGGGGGGAATCCAAAAAACCTTGATCCAAGGAGATGGAGGAGAAATACTTGGACATAGAGGGTAGAAGTGGATGGTGGGGGAAATCTTTGTAATATTGATATCGAGAAAACTTGATCCAAGGAGATCATAAGAATTTCGAAACCCCCATTGGGGGGAATCCAAAAACTTGTATTATCGAGAAATTTTTGAGGTTGGGGGTGAAAGTGGGAGGGGGATCCAAGGAGATGGAGACTTTGATTTCGAGAAAAATTTGATCCGAGGAATTGGAGACTTTGATTTCGATAAATTTTTGGGATGGGGGTGAAAGTGGGAGGGGCAATCCAAAAAAAAAAACTTGATTCGAGGAGATCATAAGAATTTCGAAACCCCATAGGGGGGAATCCAAAAACTTGTATTATCGAGAAAGTTTTGGGATGGGGGTGAAAGTTGGAGGGGCAATCCAAAAACTTGATCCGAGGAGATCATAAGAATTTCGAAAACCCCATAGGGGGGAATCCAAAAACTTGTATTATCGAGAAATTTTTGGGGTTGGGGGGGTGAAAGTCGGAGGGGGAACCTTAAAAACTTGATCGCGGGGGCGATCCGGACGACGCTGCAGAAGGCGCAGCAGAAGGCGCGGGCGGGGGTCGCGAAGGGCGCGGGCGGGCGCGCGGGGCGGGCGCGCGGCGCGACGGGGGGGTCGCGAAGGGGGGGTCGTGGGCGGGGGGTCAAGGGTGAGGTAGTCTCGAGGGGCGAGGTCAAACCGGAAGTAACACCTAGGTGTGAAAAGGGGACCCTCCAGCTGCTGGCCCTAGACCGGATACCTCGCTCAGGTGGAAGGCAAAACCCGGATACCTCGCTCTGTAGAACTTAGGGACTACTTATATATATATATATATATATATTATATATATATATATATATATATATATATATATATATATATATATATTTTATATATTATATATACATATATAAAGGTTTAAGACTTACATTGTTGATATAAAAGGGGGCATTTTACAGTACATGATATATAGATATATATATGTCGTGCCGAATAGGCAGAACTTGGGATCTTGGCTTAAATAGCGACGTTCACCCTTGCCATATAAGACAAGCGAAAATTATTGTAAACAAATCAAAAATATTTTTAGTTGGATTAGGCTAAAATAATTGCGTTGTTATAATAAGGTTAGGTAATTTTTCTAAAAATTCTTTTAGTGCAAATTTAAATTTTTTTACATTAACATTAATGAAAAAAATTTATATCTTTAAACGTAAAAGAAAAAATTTTAGAAAGGACTTAATTTTAAATGAGTTCTTGCTAATTGACCAGTTTTCATATTCGGCACGACTTTATATATATATATATATATATATATAAAATATATATATATATATATATTATATATATATATATATATTATATATATATATATATATATATATTAATATTACCAGGAAAACACTCTCTCTTTTCTCAGAATGTACATTCTTCTGAGAATGTAGAATATATCATTGGTATATATATATGTCTAGCATTAGGAAAAATATTATTTAAGACACTTGTACAACATCTGGTTATCTTTATTATAGACGTTTCGCCATCCAGTGGCTTTATCAGTACATATTCTAGGACATAATTAGAAGACAGTAGAACTATTATGATTATTTTCTGTAAATTCATAAATAAATCAACATGAGGTCAAGGATATTAATTTAATAGGATTGAATTATTTTTACAAGGAGAAAGTTTTCTTATAAAAATACTAGGATTTAAAATGCTGTTTCTCCTTTTGCAAATGAAGCAAAATTATATATTTTTTTTTGAAGATTGTAATATTAAACTTCATGCTTTATTGTTGTCAGTCAACACTCAGGTGACAACATTATTGTTGTCAGTCAACACTCAGGTGACATTACTGTTGTCAGTCAACACTCAGGTGGCAACATTATTGTTGTCAGTCAACACTCAGGTGGCAACATTATTGTTGTCAGTCAACACTCAGGTGACAACATTATTGTTGTCAATCAACACTCAGGTGACAACATTATTGTTGTCAGTCAACACCCAAGTGACAACATTATTGTTGTCAGTCAACACTCAGGTGACAACATTATTGTTGTCAGTCAACACTCAGGTGACAACATTCACGAGAAAGCACGAGAAGAGTCTGATTAAAAGTGCAAACCATTAACATTAAATGCCACAAAATTTGTTTCTTCATTTACATCAACCACACAAATGCTACACCAGACCCGAAGGTCAAAAAATGATTCTGAGGTTAGATTTGATTCAAGGGAGGGACTGTTAGTCTAATTTCCTTGGATCAAGAGCCCTTCGCCAGCATCAAGGTAATCCTCCTTGGAAGGGGCGCCCTTATACGAGCCACAGGGATGTGTGTCAAACGTTTTCCTACTGCAGTAGCCTTGCCCTTGGCCAGACTTATCTGGTGCTTGCCTGGTCAACCAGGCTAATGCTGCTGGAGGTCTGCTGGCCCACGTGTGTATCACAGCCTGGTTGATCTGACACTTGGAGGAGGTATTTGCCGAATTTTCTTTTGAAGACTTCTACTCTTGTTCCGGCAGTGTTGCCGTCTTCTAGCAAGTTGCAGAAGCAGTCTGGGACCACGGATGTTGATATGATGTTCTCTTATTTTGCGCCCGGGCACTTTATGTAACATATATCAGACCCGTCTGTAAGTCCGCAGCACCAATATGGAACTCACACCTGAGGAAGCGTGTTAAGTGAAAAAGTATGTAACAGGACTAGTCCCAGAGCTAAGGGGCATGAATTACGAAGAGAGTCTAAAGATATTGAATCTAATGATCCTGGAGGACAGAAGGACCAGGGAAGCCATGATAACAACATACAAAATATTCAGAGGAATTAATGGGGTAGACAGTTGTAGGCTGTGTGAGAGATGGGAAACTGGTACTCAGGGGCACAGCAGAAAGTTAAGTCACACGTGAGTCACAGGGGTATCAAGAAGTGTTTCTTTAGTCTTAGAGTGGTCAAGAAGTGGAATGACTTCGATGAAGAAATCGTGGAGGCATACTCCATACATAGTTTTCAGAGTAGATACGGTTGGGTCCATGGAACATGGCGCGCGCGCACACACACACAGGTCCTGGTATCAGTGTCGCCAATGAATACTCAAAGGTTGTGATGCCAGTGTTGTTAGGTGTTAACTGACGCACAGTTTCTGCTGACAGTGTCATTTGTCATAATAAGGCTGGCTCTCCTGTCTCATTTGTAAAGTTAGTATTCTCATCACTTCTCACTTATACACGCCCTTCACATTCGTGGATTTCACACAGCTGAAGGTCTTTAACGCTGTCAGTACCTACGTACACTAACCCCGTTTCAGCAAAGCCTTGGAGAATATTAACGAAAACGCAAAGGAGAGAAAAGAAATTTCTCCTCCAATCCCATCCCACAAGTTGGGCCTAACTTTCTGGCTACACAATGTTACCACTTAAGATCAGGTAGAACTGACGGGGGAAATTCAGTGACAGAACTGATCTGATGTGGGAAACACGTACACAATTATTAAGATATTTACCGATGGTGCGTTTCGCCCACCAGGGGCTTTTACAGGCTTTTACAACCTTGAAACAAATATGCTGAGAGTGATGTCCTGTACACTTAATATGAGATAAGCAAACCAAACACTGTGAAAAAATAGTGAACTTCCAAGCACTTTCGTGATTTCTCACATTATCAGCTCCTTGACAATGTGAGAAATCACGAATGCGCTTGGAAGTCCAGTATCTTTTCACAGTGTTTGTTTTGCATACTGTGATATCAGCTATTTACTGTGATCATATTGAATCAATATGAAATAAATGCGGCCCTCACCACGGAAAAGTCACAGTGCCTAGGGAATATGGTATCACCTATCATTAAACCAGTGTAAACCTAGGAAGCATTTGCTAGAATCATTTAATTTCGGTCTTTAGACCATGGTCACGTCAAATGATGCAAGAGAGTGAGGGAACACAGCATATATAGTCGAGAAAGCAGGTCACAGGTGAAGATCAGGTGAAGGCGTCAGGTCATTTAACAGTCGCGTCACGTGGCAGCAAGGAATCAGCATGGAGTAGCATCACATGTTCAAGGGTAGAGATGGTGTACTTGCCAGATCTTTGTTCTGTTGTGGTGGTGGTGACAGTTAAGTATGCTTCAATACAATGCAAGCTGTCAATGTTGGATTCCTTGTAGAGCAGCTCTGCTCTGTTGCAGCACACGGGACGTCCCTCTTTTAGATCTGTGCAAGACCCACTCATTTTTGGTGTCCTCTAGTTTGCATACATTTTTTTTCTGTTCTCTGACCCGTGTGGAAGGGTTCCACCACGTTTCTCCTACAGAGATCATGTTGTACCCTCCACATGATACTGTATACTGGTGGGTTTGTTAAATGGATCTTTCTACCTAGTGAATTCTCTGATGGAAAACGTGGTAATGGTAGCTACACGGATGTTGCCTCCACAGTTTCAGTATTGTTATACTTTCTACTTTGATTTGAGTTACACTGTGGGTCGTCGATGAGCAACATTGTAGCTACGTCTCACTGACTAGCAGCCTTTGTAGAAACACATGAGAAGATTGTGCAGATTGTGGTGTCAGCGTTAGTATTGCCAAAATAAAGTGAATAAAGCTGATGGAATACCATGCACCAGCAGCTTTAGTCCTACAAAACAGGAAAAGTTTGACAGCCTTAATGAAAAGATAAATTAATCTTGGCTATCCGTAACACTAAAATACTTGATAAATGAGACACTTGTGAAACATTTGGGTATCTTTATTCTGCAAAGTGTATCGCCAACCAGTGGCTTCTTTAGTCTGATATAGAGAGGAACAATAGAAGATGAAGAGGAGTTAGAGGTAATCAGTCCTTCAGTCTGGAGTCTATGTGTCTAGTACATCAATCCTGTCGGTTTTCTACAACCATTTGCACATTAAAATACTTAATATGAGGAAAGAATTGATATATCTAGAGTTAATGCTGGAATACGGTAAATCCACCTCATGACAAGGCTGACGTTCTTGTATGGTGATGAAGATACTGTTGTTTTTCAAGTTGTTAGAAGATGTACCACGAAACGTGTGAATTAGGATACTGGAATCACACCTCCATCTAGCTTGAAAGCAACAGCATTTCTCACCACCCTAGTAATTAATTAATGCAAACTAATCATGCATGATCATCTTCACATTGCTAAATTCAGTGCACTCAAACACACACAATCTGAAGACTTAAGCAACATCACAGAGACCATCTCATCTACACTGACCTCTCTCACCACTCGGACAGTCGGAGGGAGAGAAGTTATGTCACCATAATTCACTTAGAATTAATAACTGGCATTTCACCTTAGAAACTTATCTGTTTGCCATACTGCTCTCAAGACTGCAGAAGTTACAACTAGAGCAAGTCTAATTATCTCTGACTCCCTATCCACATTATATGCTCTAAGTAGCCTACGACCAGAAAGTAATATGCTTGTGTATGAAGCCAGACACATAATATAGACGAAATACTGACAAAGGGATACAAATGCTGACAAAGGGATTCAAATACTGACAAAGGGATTCAAATACTGACAAAGGGATTCAAATACTGACAAAGGGATTCAAATACTGACAAAGGGATTCAAATACTGACAAAGGGATTCAAATACTGACAAAGGGATTCAAATACTGACAAAGCGATTCAAATACTGACACACTGCTCACACTTACCTGTAAGAACAACAGCTGTGAGGACAACGCCTCTGCCACACTGATCACAACTCACCTGGAAGCAGGAAAAAGTTAAAAAAGGTCAGTGGAGTTAACACAAGCAAGTGCATGAATGTAAGTAATGACCAGCTAGTTCCCACGTCTCTCTCTCTCTCTCCTCTCTCTCTCTCTCTCTCTCTTCCTCTCTCTCTCTCTCCTCTCTCTCACTCTCTCTTCTCTCTCTCTCTCTCTCTCTCTACATTCAAATATACTTCCTGACACCTCCTCTATTAATGCTAATCTGTATAATGAACAATTTTATTCCATATGTTTCATTTTTTCTTTTTCTTCCTTCTTCTCTTCCGTTGCCTACCTCCTACGTCGTCTCCCTTTATTTAATCCTTCCCAATCTCTTGGCCTCCTACCGTCTCTACATATACGGCCCAATCAACCCTGCTATGCAACCGTCCTCCTCTACACATGGCCCTGTCATCCCTGTAGCTACCGTCTCCTCTACATATGGTCCTGTCATCCCTGTAGCTACCGTCTCCTCTACATATGGTCCTGTCATCCCTGTAGCTACAGTCTCCTCACACATGGCCCTGTCATCCTGTAGCTAGACCAAGTGTTTAGGGTCTCCTCTACAATAGGCCCTGTCATCCCTGTAGCTACCGTTTCCTCTACATATGGCCCCTGTCCCAGCCCTTAGCTACCGTCTCCTCTACATATGACGCAGGTCATCCTGAGCTACCGTACACCTCTACACATGGCCCTGTCATCCCTGTAGCTACCGTCTCCTCTACATATGACCAAGTCATCCCTGTAGCTACCGTCTCCTCTACATATGACGAAGTCATCCCTGTAGCTACCGTCTCCTCTACATATGACCAAGTCATCCCTGTAGCTACTGTCTCCTCTACATATGACCAAGTCATCCCTGTAGCTACCGTCTCCTCTACACATGGCCCTGTCATCCCTGTAGCTACCGTCTCCTCTACACATGGCCCTGTCATCCCTGTAGCTACCGTCTCCTCTACACATGGCCCTGTCATCCCTGTAGCTACCGTCTCCTCTACACATGGCCCTCTCATCCCTGTAGCTACCGTCTCCTCTACATATGACCAAGTCATCCCTGTAGCTACTGTCTCCTCTACATATGACCAAGTCATCCCTGTAGCTACCGTCTCCTCTACATATGACGAAGTCATACCTGTAGCTACTGTCTCCTCTGCATATGACCAAGTCATCCCTGTAGCTACCGTCTCCTCTACACATGGCCCTGTCATCCCTGTAGCTACCGTCTCCTCTACACATGGCCCTGTCATCCCAGTAGCTACCTGCTCCTCACACATGACCCTCTCATCCCAGTAGCTTACCGTCTCCTCAACATATGACCAAGTCATCCCTGACTACAGTCTCCTCTACAATTTGACCAAGTCATCCCTGTAGCCTACGTCTCCTCTACATATGACGAAGTCAACCTTAGCTACAGTCCACCTCTACATATGACCAAGTCATCCATTAGCTACCGTTCTCTCTACATATGGACCTGCCATCCCTGTAGCTACCGTCCTCTCTCTGGCATATGTCATGACCCCTGTCACGCCTGTATGCTACGTATCCCTACACATGGCCCTGTCATCCCTGTAGCTACCTCCACCTCTACACATGGCCCTCTCATCCCTGTAGCTACCGACTCCTCTACATATGGCCCTGTTAGCCCTGTAGTTACCGTCTCCTCTACATATGGCTCTGTCATCCCTGTAGCTACCGTCTCCTCTACATTTGACGAAGTTCATCCCTGTTGCAACAGTCTCCTCTACATATGACAAGTCATCCCATCGCTACCTCTCCTCTACAATATGGCCCAGTCCCATCCCTGTAGCTACGTCTCCTCTACACATGTGCCCTGTCAACCCTGTAGCAACGTCTCCTCTACCCCTGGCCTTTGTCATCCGTGCATCTACCGTCTCTCTCTACACAAGGCCCGAGTCATCCCTATAGATACCGTCTCCTCTACACATGGTCCTGTCATCCCTGTAGCTACCGTCTCCACTACACATGGCCCTGTCATCCCTGCAGCAACAGTCTCTTCTACACATGGCTTTGTCATCCTTGCAGCTACCGTCTCCTCTACACATGGCCCTGTCATCCCTGTAGATACCGTCTCCTCTACACATGGCCCTGTCATCCCTGTAGCTACCGTCTCCTCTACACATGACCCTGTCAATCCCTGTAGCTACCGTCTTCTACACATGGCCTGTCCATCCCTGCACCTACCGTCTCCTCTACACATGGCCCTGTCATCCCTGCAGCTACCGTCTCCTCTACACATGGCCCTGCCATCCCTGCAGCTACCGTCTCCTCTACACATGGCCTTGTCATCCCTGTAGATACCGTCTCCTCTACACATGGCCCTGTCATCCCTGCACCTACCGTCTCCTCTACACATGCCCTGTTCTATCCTGCAGCAACCGTTCTCCACTACAACATATCCCTGTCATTCCAGTAGCTACCGTCTCCTCTACATTTGACCCTGTCACCCCTATAGATACCGTCTCCTCTACACATGGCCCTGTCATCCCTGCAGCTACAGTCTCCTCTACACATGGCCCTGTCATCCCTGCAGCTACCGTCTCCTCTACACAGTGGCCCCTGTCATCGCCTGACATCTACCCGCTCCTCTACACATGGCCCGGTCATTTCTGCAAGCTACCTCCTCCTCTACACATGGCCCTTCATCCCCAGTAGCAACCAGTCTTCTCTTCACATGGCCCTTCATCCCCTGTAGCTACCGTCATCTCTACACATGGCCCTGTCATCCCTGTTTTTTTTAGCCTCCCGTCTCCTCTACACATGGACCTGTCATCCTGCAGCCTACCGTCTCCTCTACACATGGCCCTTCATCCCTTGCACTACCGTCTCCACTACACATGGCCCTGTCATCACTGCAGCTACCCGTCTCCTCTACACATACCCTGTCACCTGCATGCTACCGTGCTCCCTACACATGGCCCTGTCATCCCTACAGCTACGTCCCTCTACACATGGCCCTGTCATTCATTAGCTACCGTCTCCTCTATACATGCCCTGACATTCCAGCAGCTACGTCCCCTTTTACATATGGCCCTGTCATCCGCTGGCAGCTACAGTTCTCCTCTACACATAGCCCTGCATCCCTGTAGCTAAACCGATCTCCTGCTAACACATGTCCCTGTCATCCCTGCAGCTACCGTCTCTACCAACATGGTCCCTGTCCTCCTGCAGCTACCGCTCCTCTACGCAGGGCCCTGTCATCCCTTTAGCTACCGTCTCCTCTAACACATGGCCCCTGGTCAACCTCGCAGCTACCGTCCTCCTCAGACATGGCCCTGTCATCCTTGAAGCTACTCACCTCCTAAAGCTCCTCACACATGGCCCTGTCACCCGCCGCACCTACCCGGACTCCTCTACACAAGGTCCTAGTCATCCCTGCATGCTACCGTCTCCTCTACACATGACCCTGTCATCCCGCACCTCCTTCTCCTCTACACATGGCCCTGTCATCCCCGTACTACCGTCTCCTCAACACATATCCGCATGTCAACCCTGCATCTACCGACTCCTCTACACATGGCCCTGTCACCCCTGCAGCTACCGTCTCCTCTACATATGGCCCTGTCATCCCTGCAGCTACAGTCTCCTCTACACATAGCCCTGTCATCCCTGTAGCTACCGTCTCCTCTACACATGGCCCTGTCATCCCTGCAGCTACCGTCTCTACACATGGCCCTGTCATCCCTGCAGCTACCGTCTGCTCTACGCATTGCCCTGTCATCCCTGTAGCTACCGTCTCCTCTACACATGGCCCTGTCATCTCCGTAGCTACCGTCTCCTCTACACATGGCCCTGTCATTCCTGCAGCTACCGTCTCCTCTACACATGGCCCTGTCATCCCTGCAGCTACCGTCTCCTCTAGACATGGCCCTGTCATCCTTGTAGCTACCGTCTCCTCCTACCGTCTCCTCTACACATGGCCCTGTCATCCCCGCACCTACCGTCTCCTCTACACATGGTCCTGTCATCCCTGCAGCTACCGTCTCCTCTACACATGGCCCTGTCATCCCTGCACCTACCGTCTCCTCTACACATGGCCCTGTCATCCCTGTGTAGATCTACCGTCTCCACTACACATGGCCCTGTCATCCCTGCAGCTACCGTCTCCTCTACACATGGCCCTGTCACCCCTGCAGCTACCGTCTCCTTTACACATGGCCCTGTCATCCCTGTAGCTACCGTCTCCTCTACACATTGCCCTGTCATCCCTGCAGCTACCGTCTCCTCTACACATGGCCCTGTCATCCCTGTAGCTACCGTCTCTTCTACACAAGGCCCAGTCATCCAGCAGCTACCGTCCCTCTACACAAGGCCCTGTCATCCCTGCATCTATCGACTCCTCTACACAAGCCTTGTCAACCCCTGAGGCAACCGTCTCTCAACACATTGCCCTGTACATTCCCTGCAGACTACCGTCTCCTCTAACATGGCCCTGTAACCCTGAAGCCACCGTCACTTCTACCAAGCCCTGTCCATCCCTGCACTACCGTCTCCCTCTACACATGGCACTGTCATCCACGGGATAGTAAGGGAATCATCTACACATGGCCCTGTCATCCCTGTAGCCACCGTCTCTTCTACACATGGCCCTGTCATCCCTGCAGCTACCGTCTCCTCTACACATGGCCCTGTCATCCCTGCAGCTACCGTCTCCTCTACACATGGCCCTGTCATCCCTGATAGTCAGGATAAGAGTATATGGGGGGGGGACCTGTCATCCCTGTAGCCATCCGTCTCTTCTAGCACATTGGCCACTGTCACCTGCAGCTACCGTCTCCTCTACACATGGCCCTGTCATCCCTGTAGCCACCGTCTTTTCTACACATGGCCCTGTCATCCCTGCAGCTACCGTCTCGTCTACACATGGCCCTGTCATACCCTGCAGCTACCGTCTCCTCATACACTGGCTCCTGTCATCCCTGCAGCTACCGTCCCCCCTCTACACATGGCCCTGTCATCCATGTAGCCACCGTCCTCTTC